CGCCTGGGGACAATCCCTTTTCTAGCACCGATGTGTCTGAGGGAGGAGACCGTGGAGTAATTCCCTACCTGAACCACCTTGAACTGCCGGTCCAGAAGGAAGGACATTTTCACGATGGGACTTTTGGTGAACTTGGTTGTCACTACTGGACTCAGGGCAAAAAACATTTTGATTTTCCGAGCCAGTTCTGGCATGGACGAAAATGCAATGAATGCTGAGAAAACAGAAAACCAACCTGAGACTTGGTCGATCTTTCTTCAGGTGCTTAAACCTAAGGTTTGCTTGGACCTGCTGCCCAGATCTACTTAGCTGGCATTAGCTCCAATCAGAAAGCTGGGATCACTTGCCACCTTTCTGCTTAATATTAGTGCTAAATGTCCAAAAGGAGGCAGTGTCTTTATTCCTATGGTTAGAAGTGGCTGATGAGGCACTTCAATGACTACCACTGATGTGAAGTCCTGCCCCATTCACCAGGTGAAGGGAACAGTACTGTCATCTTCCATCAACCACTGCTAAAGTGTACCATACCATCATCACAGAGGTTATCTCATACCCTCGATGGCCCAGCTGGTGAAAAGAAGCACCGTGTGTTTCATCAGAAAGCAGAAGCTGGGACCTCCCTGCAAAACGCCTTTGATTTTGATGTGGAACACGACAATTCGTTTTCCAGGTTGAATTATAATTGCTCCAGTTGCAGCAAGGAGCTTATGGAGGCCACCAGGAGCTTCCTTACTACCCTAGGAGCATGCTGGTCCTCCCAGATGCAGTGCGTGGAAAGCACGGCTGCTGTGGGACTTCTCACTGCAAGAAACCTTCTACCTAGCGTGCCTGCTCGGCAGCCCACAAAGATGTGACCTGTCCACTTTCTGCTTACAAGTACCAAAATGAACGTTTCCGAGGTGGTGCAGGCAACGCGATGTGCAACCCCTTCCAACGCACCGATTGTGCAGCCTTGGGAGTGGCCAACGTAGTAGATCTGCTGCTGCCCAGTCTTCTGCAGAACAAAGTCGACCATGGCTGGGAGGTCGTACATTGCCATTTCGTGAAAGCTGCAACACAGAAGTGGCGCGTTGGTGATAAGGTAACACCAGGAGAGCGAGCTTACCTCTGAACTTTGGCTGCCTTGGATTGCTCTTACACTGAAGGACTTAACAGCTGTGGCTTATTTTCCAGGAGAACAATTCCTATGTGCTAGGAGAGCCCTGTGCTGGGTGAAACTGCACAAGATCCTAAGTGCCATGGCCTCATCCTTTCCTGAAAAGGCTTAGTCCTTCCATAACTGTGGTTAGAGAGAAGAAACTGTGCAGTCTGGCCAGCTGTGCGTTCAGGTGCAATACACAGCAGCTCTGCAGACCCAGAGCTGGATCTCGTCGGGATTACAGCAACAGCTCGGCTCCTAGAGATGCTCTTTCCAAGAAGGGAACAGAGCACCAGTTCCTGCCCATCTGCCTTTTAGTGTGACATGGTGAAACACAGACCTGCTGATAAGCTAATAAGCTTTTTTTGCTGGAAGCACATTTATGAGCTTGGGAAACCCAGGAGTGCTCTGAAGATCAGCTCTGGAGAGGTAGCAGCAACTTAAAACGCTGTTCTTGGGGACAAGGCTTCTGTGGATGATGTCTAGAAGAGGAGATGGCAATGATGCTTGGGGACACCTTGGCCAGGGAGGTCCCCGGGGAGGTAGGGCTGACGTCTCCGCAGGATGGGCGTCCCCACGCAGGCAGCAGTGCCCTGTGCTCTTGGCAGGGATGGGCAGCTGCAGGGAGGTGCTGGCACCATGTTAGCAGGCAGGTCTGCACAGGTCTCCATCCTCCCTGGGCACATCACTGGGAGGTCTGGGGGAGGCCGTACCTGGGGATCAGGTGCTCTGACTTGCCTGCTTGGAGACACTCACCTCTGCCTAGAGGTTAGTGACAGGCAGAGAAGTTTGCCATGATTTTGTAATCTGCTCCAGCCCACCTGAAATCCCAGAATTCAACCTGGTCGACTGAAAGGTACTGGTGTCTCTGGGACCAGCTTGTCCCCCGGCTGTTTCCCAGCCAGACGTCGTAGCCAGAGTCTGCTAGTATGAAGCCAAGGCTGTTGTTAGCCAGATTTTCCACCCAGAAGCTACTTTCTCCGAGAAACCCATGCTGGAGAAACACGACCGGCTTGGCCCCTGAATGTGAAAGAAACAGCGTTTTTCATTAAAGCAGAATTTCTCTGCTCACCCCAAATTCAGCCCAATAAAGCCTCTTTCTTGCACTGCCAGAGGCCATACAGTGTGCATTTTAACGATGTCTCCTGGGGGAGAAATCCTTGCCCTAGTTGTCTCAGGCTGGAGTGCCGTGGACATCCCTCCTAAGCCTTTCAGACCCCCGGGACTCATCCCCACAAGCTCAGCGCTGTGGCCACTGACGACAGCCATGTGAAAGTTCATTTTTTTTGCTGTCTTCCTTGTGAAGTAGAGCCGTACCTCTGTTCCCAGGGTTTTCTCTCCCATGAGGAATTCTGTTCAGGCTGACGTAGTAGCCGTCGCCAGTCAGGACTTCATACTCCTCGCTGGGGTACCCTCTGTGGGAGATCATTTGGCTCTGGGGAAAGAAAACCCCGGATAGAAAGCTTTCCGTAGCCGAGGGGCTCATCCGACTTGACGAGCGCATCCCTCGTCAGCCGCGATGCCTTTGCAAAACCAAAATGCTGCAGCAGCTGGGGCATCGCTTTTCCTGGTGCCTCTGGATCAGCCGAGGACTTGGAGAGAGAGAGAGAACGCTTGGTCTGAATCCCATGCCCGTCCCAGCGAGATGCCCAAGGGAAGAGGAGAGGGTCAGCCGTGGGCTCGTGGCTGCGAGCGGGAGGCGAGCCGGGCGACAGCCAGACTCTTCTGCGGTGGGCAGCAGCACGTAGGATTGACACGTTTCCAAAAACAAGAATTAAATCCCAAAGGATTTACTGACAGCTGGCACTGATGGCAGGACGTGTCACGGCACGCTCCGAGCTGCTGCGCGGGGCGGGTAAGATGGTGGGGCATATCGGACCTGTCGAGCTGGGTTGACTGGAAGGGTGATAGGACAAGCCCCGTAGGATTTGTCGCATGGCTCCTGAGGCTCTGCCTGCACTTTATTTATGGCGAAAACTCCACAAATTGGGAAGTTTCAGTCTGGTGAAATCCGGCTGTGATCCTGCCTGTACATCGCTGTATGCTTTGTCACGCCTTTGGGTCCGTCTAAGCCCACCTTCAGAGACCTGCAGGGCTCGCCTGGACATGACCTTGAGCACCCTGCTGCAGCTGAAGGAGAGGAGCCATGCACGACTTTCTGCCCTCCAGCAAGAAGTCTGAGCAAATCCAGACTGGGATTACTCCCTTCTCTAACTGACCTGTTGATAATGACATTTAATACTGCTAGGAAGAAGAGGACTCCTTCAGGAAGCAGGGCTTGGTATGGAGGCAACGTCATATCACACTGCTTAACCAAACCAGGACATGTGGTGACCCGAGCCCTCTCCACATCCATACCCTCCATCCCTCTCTCCCCCAGCTGAACGTCCACGAACTTTCAGACAGAGCGGAAATTCAAACTTCTGACTTACAACATTCATGAAAGTCTCGGGATTTATGGCCTTTTCCTGCTCGATGACATCTGCTGAGTTCATGGGTGCTTGTATCAAAACCAGGATTGCAATAAACAGCCACATCTTGTGTCTGTTTAAAAAAAAAAAAGAAAAAACCCGATAATAATAACTTAATGTTGTTATGAATGTCTTTTCTACTTGGCTATGATGGGTTAAGTTCTTTATGTATTTCGAGACCACATATCCCAGTCTGGATCAGGGAAGTGGAGAGGATTCTCAGTTCCAGGTTCCATTAGATTCCACGCAAGGTTCTTCATGCTCCTCCGTACAGATTGGATCTGGTCCAGGCAAGACCCATTTTTGTATTTTTTAATGGTAAAAAGAAGAGAAACAGCTTTATAATGCAAAAAAAACTAAAGCGACGGAAAATGCTGCCGGGCCAATAGTCACATGAGGAAATTAATCAGAAGTAAGAGTTTACACCTTGCAAGGAACATATTTCTGTCGCCTGGATACTTTTTGTATTTCTTTATTGCTCAGCTTTTGCACCCAAAAGCCTCCATTAACACAAGGACCCTACGAGCTGAGACTAGTAGAGCCTCGTAAGGAGACTATTTATTAAATAAGCGTATCCCAAAGAAAACAGAAACCTTTTTGATCGCCTTAGAGACTCGTGTTCCATGCAGGGATCTATTCTTAAAAGACGTAAGTTAATGCTATACGTGATTTCCAAAGCTTCGCCGGACTAGTTAGGCTGAGTTAGAGCTTAACTTCAACCCATTAGCATGAGTTACAAATCTTCTCACCAGCCGTCTGGTTACTCTCTACCTCCCTTCTTCCTCCTCCCAATGGATCTCCCACACCGTGAGACACATCTGCCCTCGGAAATATTCCCGGTAACCCCCTCTATGGTATTACCAAGAGGCAAGTTACCCAGAAAAAAAGCATCGATGCTTTTTCACCCTCAGGATAGCTCCGGTGCCAATCTGAACTACGCCGAGGAAAATACGTTACCAGGCAGAGCCCACTGTCGTGTCCGATCCGGCTGGTGGTGGGAATGGTGGTGACTCTGTTAACATCCGTGTCAAAAAGAGCACGTTGTGTCAGAGCGTTGCTGCGTTAGCACCACGCTGGACCACATTCACGTGTCCTTCAGCTAAGCGATGTGCGTGCTGGTCATATCTTTGATAACGTCCTCTGCTTGGCGTGTGGTCAAGACTTCCGTGCTTGCGAAAGACTACGCTTCCAAAAGTAGCTGGAGCGGTGCAGTGAGGAATTTCAGCTATGGAGTTGCACCTTAAGCTCATGATAGCCACAGCAAAAAAAAGGTCAACATTTTTTCTTTGTAAAGGGTCATTTCCTAACTCCCAGGGGCCCTTGGGAATGCCTCTTAGAAGAATTTCTGGGGTATTGAAAGGACTTGGGCTTCACCAGCTTCACAGGCCCTCACGAGCGTGCTGACCTCTCCATAGCCACAGCAAGGACAGGCTAGACTTCACTGGCTGCCTCGGTGGGAGATACTTGGTGATTACACCACTCTTCAAAAGTGACAGTGGCCCAGCCAACCTCCACATAGCGCTTACGCCCAAGAGGCATTGTATTTGCAAGCGGCAATTTGCAAAACCTCTGCAACGTTTTCTGGGAAAGCACCAAGCTTAGCGTCTTGCCGATGGACGGCAGAGTGGAGGACAGCTTGTGCAACGCCGCTGTTTGGCTGAAGTGGCAGGTATTGCGCAGAGCAAAGGTGCTCATTCTCCACCTCCAGCCTGTGACCTTACAACCCACGCCTTTCTGTAGCTGCTTGGTAGCCACCTAAAAGACCGAGCCTTTGGTTGGCTACCAGGTGCTCAGCTTGAGCATATACGTTTCCCAGTCATTGATTAAGTTGACTTCTAATGTTCATACCAGCCATAGTCTACGAGCGGTATGAAAGTTGTGAAACACAGCTCAAAACACGCGTGTGTTACTCCATCCACCTGACTCTGATTGTCTGTCGGTGCTGCAACCACTGGCACAAAGGGACTGTGTGTGTGGGCGCTGCCTTCCTGACAGCAGGTGTGGCCAGAGCCTTCACTGTGTCATTGCTGTACTTCTCCCCGTGTCTACCTCGGGCTTTTGAAAGTGCCTTCCCACTCCCGTGAGCGTGAGAATCCCACTACATGAGACTTTACAAGTTGTGCAGAGGGCGATTTCGGTGTGTGTCCCAAAAGGAGTTAAAAAACACTCTATGGATGGACAAACCCCTACTCAGCTTGTGTTTTTCTTCTCTACCATCAGGTTTCCTTCAACGGCATCAAGACAGACCTCGCCTTTTACTTGTGCGGTCGGCTACTTCACCCGCGGCCAGGTCTGCTGCCTTCTATCTCAACTAGGTATTAGTTATCTAGTGGAGGTACTGAGTACTAGTACTAGTTTCTAATAAGCAGTTGGAAAGGCAGCAGAGACTTCTCCAGCATCCTCAGGCCATAGGACAAGGCTATCGGAGCAGTGTATCAGCACCAAAGCTCATGTGCAATTTAGCACTTATGGAAGGAGAGAAGTTGCCAACAACGAGCTGAGAAAACTCTTGTGTAGCTTAGTCAGAGGAAGAAATGAAAACCTTTGAGTTATCTGAAGTTAGGACACCAGAGTTGGGGGTTTTGACACACCAGTGCAAGTTTAGGTGGAAAGAGCAATACCATCATGATACTGCCGTGACTGTACACTTGACAGAATGCAAATAGTCACTAGTATTAACCTACGGTGTCAGGACCCCATAATTCATGGTAGGATGCACAACCAAATGTTAGATAGACTATCATGGGCATCTTAAAGTGAAGCTGTCTAACCACACTCACAGGATGTTTTTACAGTATTGTTGTAATGTTGTAATTCTTCTAATGTAAGAAGAGTCAAGACTGCTTAGAAATTGAAAGATATTTTATTTAACTTTCTAACCGGGTAGACCGTACCAATCAGCGCTCTCACTGAGAGTTCGAAATGTGTGTATCCAAGTGGTCTGGTCAAGGTCACCTGAGTGTGACATGGAAGGCAAGGGTCGCCAGCTACTGAGTCCTCCATATGCCTTCTGGCTTCTGCTTGAGGCTGGAAGGCCAACTCTTTCTTGCCCTCAAAGGTCTTTCAGGAGTCAAAAGTTACACATCAAAAGTGTGATGTTTTGCTTCTGCACCTTGCTAACTTCATCCTTCATAAATATTAGGCAACCCTGCTGCTGGCTGTCTTTAATTTTCTTGTTTGAGGTATGATAGGACTGTAACCCATCCTGTTGTTGAGATAGCAGGAAGAGAAACAGACCGTGAAGAAGACCCAACAGGTCTTCTGCTGATGAGTCACCTTCTCTATGGCACATCACGGTGCAAGCAGCACAATCCTCAGCGCTTATGAGTCTGAGTGGTGTTAATCATGTCCTTGTCTATCAATGCATACCATTCCTCTAACTCCTGCTCTGGTGTTTCTCCTGGTGCTTTCACACATGTACAAGCCACCAGACTGTATGCCTGGGATGCTGGTTGTTACCTTCTGTCCATTGCCTCTTGCCAAGCACAAGGGTAAGCCCGTCACAAGCAGGGAGATGCTTACCTAGCTGTCATCTGGCCTTGGCATCCTGAACTGGGAAAGAATTAGCCATAGGAGAACATCAGCTCTTGTGTAATCCCTGCCAGATAAGATTCCCTTGCAGTAACCTTGGAGAACCTTGCTCAAGTAAAGAAACTGATTAGAAGAGCAGTGCTTATCTGGTTGTACCTCTCCTAGTTTAAAGTCCTTCGGCTAGGCTGGGATATCTCCAGCATCTCTGCTTACTTAGAGTTGCATAGTGAGGCTTGATGAAACAACGAATTATTTTCACAACACCTTCCTAGAATTGTTCATGCAATCGTTCTACTCACAGTAGTAAAACCGAATCAACAAAAGCATAAACATTCCTAAACGTTGATTGAGAAATAACCGAGATGTGGCCACCAGTGGTTCATCTCAGATTCCCCTGTTTCTTTGTTCAGAAGATCCCAGAACAACCCTGAACATCTTGTACTTCTCTGGTCTCTCTTCATTGTACAATTATCTTTAAAGAGTATTTTAAAGCTAGAAGACTTTGGTCTGTTCATGAACAGACCTGGGCCAACTTCAGCAAACTTTCTCAATAAAGAAATCTTCATATTTTCCCGATTTGGTATCATGGTGTTCTTGGGCTTTTTTCCGATGTATTGGAGAAAAGCTGATTCGTCAGGGCTATCTGAGACCTTCAGGGAGGAGTAACACGTCCCACACAACATTCCTGACTTCCCAGGGTCAGGAATGGAGACCAACCCAGGCTTGTGAAGAGTGCTGGAGGTAGTTATGTCTGATCATGATTTTGGCTAACCGTAACTTTCCATGGTCTTATATAATTCCCATCTGCCTAAAGTACCGATATACGAAAACATAAATCTCAAAAACCAGTTACTGGCTGTCTCTTCCAAGCATTCATCTAGCAATCTCAAAGGAAATTTGGAAATAACATAGGAAATAACACAGAAATGGCTCATAGTTCCTGAAATAAGAAAACAACATGTCCTCAACTGAATAGAACTCTGAATCTACTCAGCAATGCCAGTGACTGCTGGGAACTGTTGTCAGGCTTGCTGTTAAGGATCAAAAAACCATGAAAAGGCAGTGCACCATCTGACATAGAATCATAGAATCATAGAATCATAGAATCATAGAATCATAGAATCATAGAATCATGGAATGGTTTGGGTTGGAAGGGACCTCAAAGATCATCCAG